CAGGGTCATCTGCCGAAGGCTCTCCTCCAGCATAGCCATCTGCCGGACGGCATCGGAATTCTGGCGGATGAGCTCCCGCATCTTAGCATCCTGCTCGGCCTTGCGAAGACGCCACTCCTCTAGCCGCCGGGTCTGCTCTCCGAGGGCAATGCAGGTCTACAAAAAAAAGATAAGTTAGGAAGGCCGTACATTATTTCCTGGCTCAAACAAAAAACGGTAAACTGTCAAAAAAAAAACACTTACCGTGAGGGAAGACCGGAGGATCCTGTCCTCGAGGGCTTGGTCATCATCAGCCCCGAGGGCTGCCCTGTCAATATCGAGGGTTATACCTCTCAGAAGCGCCCTCGGGTCAGCCGTGCCATTCATCACGGCCGTACCAACCGGGAGGGAGACCGTCAGGACCTCGGCAGATGGCTCCCCGACACCCCCCGGCACTTTCGCCACCGGCATCTCCTCGTGCACCCCGGAGGCGGGGCAATCGTCAACAATGACCACCGGTGGGCTTTTCTTCCCGGCATCCCCGGTCTTGGGCTTTTTGCTCTCGGCAGCCTTGCCCGTGCCTTTCCTCTTGGCAGCGGCAGCTGCATCAGTGTTTGGGGCCGCCGATGGCCCCTCCGGCTTCTTGAAGAAGTCACCGGCGGGTTTTGGGGCACCAGCATCCGTCCCCCTCGGGGCCTTGGAGGGTTTTTTCTTTTTCAGATCAGCGAGCCCCCGGACGTTCATCATATTGACTGGGATACCTGCAAAAACAGTGTGGGGTTAAAACCGAGGGGTTACTAACAGATGACACAAAAAAGAAACAAACAAGCAGATGGACTATCTGCTAAGATATAAAATAAGGGTGCCCTCAGCCACTACCTCCGGAGGCTCCCTCAAACGCCGGGAACTTCTCATCTGTCTCCCCCAGGAAGCGATACCGCCTGAACCCGAGGGTGTAGAGATCCTCCTCTTTGGTGCACTCCTTAATGGTTATATTTTTGTTCCGGCCCTCCTGGATCTTAGTCAGGATCCTGCCGTCTTTCTCGAGGGCGGCGCTCCTCCTCTTCTCGTGCCTCCTAAACCGGTCACGCAATTCCCTCGGGAAGGGGCTCTCGGTCAGCTTCACATAGCACCACCGATCTTTCCATCCTTTGTTCGAAGAGGGCGCCTCAGTAAAGAGCTTGAACAGGGCCACCTGCTGCAAGTTTGCGAAGCCCTCGGCATTCGCATGCCCCCTCGGCACAGATTAAAGCTCTGGAAGAAGAGATCCAGGCTAGGTGTTACCCCCCGGGACTTGCAGAGCTGGAGGAAGCCCGTAATGTAGGAATGACTGTTCGGGGTCAGTTGGCAGGGGACCAAACCCACGAACCGGAGGTACTCCCGGAGGAAAGGGTGCAGGGGGAAGCGGAGCCCCATGGACACGGAGAGAATGTGCACCGCAATGCAGCCCTCGGGAGCCCGGGAGAGGACGTCATCTGGACTCGGTGTCACCACGATGGCCGAGGGGCCCACGTGTAGTTGAATGACGTAGATGTCCGCCGCGTCAGCTTTCGACCTTATCTCTAAGGCGACGGTGTTCAAGTATGAGTACCCCTCGGGCATGTCGAGGGGCTTCCCTTGGTCTGCAACGCTGCCCTTCTTCTTGGGAGCAGCGACCTTGGCCTTCTTCTTTCCGGGGGCCACCCGGATGGGAACCGCGTTCAGCGGCCGAGAGGTGCTGGCCTCACCAGTGCCCCGAGGGGGGAGAACAACAATAGTAACCCTCGCGCCTTCTTTTTGCGCCTCTTCTTCAGCTGCTTGCCAGGCGAGGGCCAGCTCCTCATCTTCACACTCCTGTTCGAAGCCCTCGGCTTCCGCCTCAGCAACGAGGGCTTTCTGCAGCTCCAGGGCGACGACGGCATCGTGTCCCACCGAGGACTGCTCGCTTGAGGACTCCACGTCCGAAAAGACTTCATCCCCCACCGAGGGCGCCCCCGAGATGTCCTGGGAATCACTCTGGGAAGACATCTTGGCTCTAGTTCGAGGGCTCGGAAACGCTAGTGTTTTCTAAAAAATTCTATCTCCTAGCCTAAAGGCACAGGGCACAGCTAACTAGAAGGAGAAGAGCAGGGGGGAACTGACCTTGAGAACTGAGGAATCAACCGAAGGCAAGTTTCTCTCTCTAGAAAATTTTTGCCAGAGCTTCGCTACACTGAAATCGCACAGCGGAGAATGGCCCTGGCCTTGGGGTATTTATAGGCACTGGGATCCGGGCTTGGGCCTGGAAACCGAGCCTCCGGTGGGATTGCCATCATTACCAACCGAGGTTTCACCCAATCGGTGACGCCCGCCCACGGGCAGCCAACGAGCACGCACCATGTGGCAACCCCCCCCCCCCCCCCCCCAACGGCTATATCCTGACGTTACATATTCCAATGGCTATATTTCCAACGGCTATATTCTGGGAGCCCCCGGGTTTTTTACTTCACTCCACTTCATCAGGGAAATCCTCCGGGTACACTTACCCAGAGACGCTCTCGGGTTGTGCCCCACACAGTACATAACAGACGCCTTCGGGATCACTCCTTCAGAAGCCCAAGGCTTCATATCAGGCCACCCCTCGGGGATCCCCCCTCAGCACTGTAAGGGCCGGGTAGCCCCCGGGGAGTATGCCTCATTGACGGATAGCCTACGGCACACAGGTAATGGGAGCCCTCGGATATCCTCATCATCAACTAATCAACAAACAGGGGACACCCCGGTAACACTTCAACTACTACCATCATTCACTACGCCCTCGATCCCCAGATTGAGGGACCCACCTTCGGCACCTCCCAGGACATCAACAACAAGCCTCAGGCTAATCAACACATGAGCCCTCAGAACAAGGAGAGCCTTCGACATCATCATTATTCTCCATTTTGAACCAAGGTTTCACATTTTCGATTCATCGTTGGGGGAATTCGGTGCACTCTTTTTCCCTCATTAGGATTTTTTCCCACAGGGTTTTTCCTAATGAGGTTTTTAACGAGGCATCCCCCCAAAATGAAACGAAAAGCGTCATCCTTCGGCCCACAACAGCAACGCAACTACTCTACTCCTTTTCACCACTTTGCAAGTGCCTCAAGGAGTGGGGGACTGGAGGACCCCCTCGGGAAAAATCATAAAAATCACAAACATGACCCCTCAAGTCCCGACATGTGGGTAACTGAGGGACTGCCCTCGGCAGAATAAACAAACAGCAAACTACCCACAACTCTACAAACGAAACAACGGCAGAGGACAAACACAATTACTCCTTTTCCCTCAAGTACCTTTCGGCAAAAGGAGTGAGGGACTCCTGATGGAGTATATGGCCCGGGAACCCCCGGCCCACAGACTCCTACTGCTCCAATAAAGGCCCAACAGGCCCAGAAAGCCCAACAGGCCCAAATCACGGCGCCCAAGATACCAAGCAGCCCACAAATACGCACCAGGGGTGCCTTCGCCCCCCTGACCGAAGGCTCTAACTCTCACAGGAGGGTCAAGACAACAAAACAAAGTTACTTGGAAAAACGGTGGAAAACAGTAGCCCTCGGCACCTGGAGCCCTCAGCACCAAGGGGGTCCCCGGTACTCAGAGCCCTCGGCTAGTCCTCTACAGCCGAGGGCACCTTTCCCGACATGATATCCGCGCCACATGCGTACAGATCACCGTACCCTGTACAACGTCCCATCCAACAGCCGCATTAAATGCGGCCACATGCGGTTGCCAGCGCCAACCAGTTGAGGTGACCTCTCGGCCAATGGACGCTTAACACGTGTCCCTGTCCGGCATTTATTGCTACTATAAATAGCACCCCATTTCCCCATTTGTAACCACGCTGAAAACACTCCACACTTTACAATATACTTTCTCTCTATATACTTACTTGCTCTGACTTCTCTCTTATTATTCCCCGTAATAACCCCTCGGATAAGCTACCCCCGGGTACACTATCCATCAATCTTCAATGCTTTTTAGTATTATAATTATTTAATTTGATTATTGCGCATACTAATTACCTTTAACTTTAGTTATATATATATATATATATATATATATATATATATATATATATATATATATATATATATATATATATATATATATATATATATATATTAGAAATCCAAACAATTATAAACGGTGATCGGTTTTCCCCGGCATTGACCAAGTTGACCCGCCGGGTCCGAGCTAACCCATGATCAATCATTCGTTCGGGTCACTTCACGATCCGGTTCTTGTAATATAGTACTGCCTCTGTTCTTTTTTAGTTGCAACATTGATGAATTTTACCCTCTTTACATGTTTTATTAATGTTTTATTTAAATTAAAATTTTGAAATTGTTGTTACATTTCTCTCATTTTAAATATTCAAAATCCGAATTATTTAATTGTTTTACTAATAAGGAATGAAATATATTAATGATCGAAAAGTATGTTGATAAATGTAAAAATTGAAAATTGAAACGTTGCGACTATAAAAGAACCGAGAAAGTACTAAGTATTAACCCATTTTACAACTCTGCCACCATTTGCTTTAAACAAAATGGGTCATCATTAAGTAAAAACAAGTTTATATGTCAATTTTAGAATAATATACACAGGTCTGTTGTATATACTATATATGATGGAGATAAACCGTAAGGGTGTGTGAGTGTGGTTGTATACGAATCAAATAATTTATGCTCGGTTCGGGATTCAAATTTGCATAAGACGATTCGAAGTCGAAAAAATCAAATACAAATGCAAATAAGAATACTAAATTTGATTCGAATGGTTATCAAATACAAATACGAATATCAATATATTCGATTGGAATGTTAATCAAATATATTCGATTAATAATAACGATAATATGAATAATATTAGTAATAGTAGTAATAATACTATTAAAAGCTAGCTATAACCTCAAAGTGTAGCCCATATATACATTTAGGTATACACATTGTAAGCCAATTTGTAATAAATCAGAATTATAATAACTAATAAGGAGTAAGGATTGTAAATGAAACAAATAATTTTAATTCGATTCGTGATTTGGATTCATAAATTGTAATTAATTTCAATTTGAAAATATAGAATATAAATACAAATACAAAAAACATTTTTGGTTCAAACATCTCTCAAATAAGATTAATTGGGAGCGAGGATATGCAAAAAAACAAGATTTTATCTATCTATACAATCGTAACAGTTGGTAAACGTGTGGCGGAATTTCAGCTTAAACTGAGCCAGGTATATATTTATTATTCATAATGTGAATGGGTTTTGTGGTGGATGGAGAATGGGGGTGGTAGACATGGTCACATTGGCTGAAAGCATATTTGGTGCGACAGTGTTATCAAGACTTACAGGCTGAACCTGGACCACTCTCTCCGGCACCACCTTGTCTCCGTCCACTTTAGCCAACACTTCAAAATGCATCCTCACTGTCTCCGGCCTCGTCATCCACTTCGGGAAACTCTCCAAACCAAACGCATCCTCCTCCACCTTCAACTTCTTCTCCAACGCGAAACCCATCTTCACGAACGTCTGAGCCGATATGTCCGCCTTTAGCAGCTTAAAAGAACCCTTTGCATTTGCCTTGGGACCCAGCACAGAGGAAAGCAACGACTCAAAACCAATCAAGTTAGGGTTGGAGCCATTGATGGAGACCAATGGCCACATGGTAGTGAATCGGGTGGGTGTTAGGAGGGCAGTTGTGGGCTCTCCAACTGCGGTGGAGATGGCTTTGATTTTAGGCACAGAAGATAGCTCCACCAGGCCGGGTGCAAGACGCTTAAGTTTAAGCCTGCTTGATGATGGAGTACTAGTAGGTGACGTGAGAGAAGTCGGCCCCACAATGCGAAGAGATAGTACCGGACCACCTTTCATGCGGCGCAGGTGATCTGCCAGAGTTAACAGACCGGAAGCGAAGCCGTTATGGGATCTGTTAAATGGAAGCGGGAGCATGACTGGGTGGCGGAGACTAACAGATCTGGCACCCTTAACGGTCACCATAGCACCATCTGCTAACACCACTTTCTTCACCGTCCCAGCATCCACATCATGCTGCATAAATTTTTCAGCAAGGCAAGTAACAGGTCAACAACATACCTTGTAACTGAAGAATAAACAGCCAAGAACTAAACATACCTAGGTGGGAGCCACTTGAATGGATGAAAATGAACTTTATCAGAACTAAATATGGAGGGGTATATATCATTTCGCAATAGGAGCATGTTATGGAGAAATATGATAGAAAATTTGCCAGGAAAGAAATATAGATAAAATAAATGAAAAGATTTTTAAAATGATTTCTTTTTTTTTTGTATTGCCGAATGTTAAAGAAAACCATTCTCATCAGCATTTAAAAAAATGTCCCCTACCTTTTGCTGTGTTCCAAAAAAGGCATTAAGGTTAGGTATGAATCAAGAGGAAAACTAGAGATTCAACTTATGAAGGAATCATGAGGTGAAATTTACAACCGCAATTGTCAAAGGTTATTTCCATTTGCATGAAATATATCATGAAAAGGCGATAAGAGTTGAGATAGGCCATTGAATAGGACCGACCGACCAAAGATTTTTCAACTTACAGGCAGCGAAAGCCTCATGTTCTTAGCATCCTGGACCCAGAGTTCCATTGGGCCTGCAAGAGTGAAAGGAGCTAACACAGGCGTCTCCCTCTCTAACTTGTTCTTCTCAACCAACCCGTTTTCCTCTGCCGGATTCTGTACCCGGAAAATGGGCAACTCCACATATTCCCATCTATTCACATCCTCCAGAAGCTTCAAGGGAAGAACTTTATCATCAATCTCAACATCAAACTCATAAGCCACCGATCTTCCAACCAAAACGTCCCTCCAGTCAAAACCAGATATCTCGAAATCCTCCTCCTTGAATCCTAACCCCTTCACAATTGCTTCCTTCAAATCCTATTTGAAACACAAAAAGAAGTGATATGATCTCCCACTCCAGTTTAGTTTCATTTAATGCGAATCGTATATAAGCAACTGAGCATCATCCGTAATTACAAATTCTTTTTACAAAAACAAGAAAAGAGGTACCCTAGGTTGCAAGTTCTATTTTATGACAACTTGAGCTATGCCCGGGCGCTTAATTACAGATTCCAACCCGAAGAAAAATTCACATTTAGGAGAAACGTAACAAAAGCTTATAGGTTGTAGATGTAAGATGTGAAACCGTAAGGAGAACAAGATAAAGAATGGGAAATGGAAACTGAAAAGCTTACATGTATGACTTTGGGATAAGGACGGTTAGCAGTCTGAGCAGAGATCAATCCTTCCGATGCCGGAAAGGGAACCGCGATCAGAACGAGACAGATAGCCGCGAAGCTCACCGATCGAGTCCCCATCATACCGGGAGCAAAATTGATAATATAAAGTATTCGAGGAAGCCGTAGGATAGGATATAACAGTTGCGTTGAATTTGCAGTGAAATGGGAGGCGAGGACAGAAAAATTGAAATCCGAAAGAAAGGAAGACAGAGCAGAGGGATGGGGATTGATTGTTCTTCGTGCGGAAGCTGACCTGGCAACCGTTATCCAATGGGAGGCGAGCACAGACGTGGCCGTCATTTCTTTATTCTCAACCTATTCAAAACGACCGTCGTTTTCTGAATAAGACTTTGGAACCAAGTTACTCGGTACTCACCCTTATATCCACCTTATATTCACCCTTATATCCATCTTATATTCACTCATGTTTGTGAATTTTTTTTATTTTAGTGAATCCGGATCATAGACAAAATATGTATTATTTTGTTTGTACAAATTTTGCACAAACAAAATATTGTCTGTGAAAGGAACTCACAGACAAAAAAACTTCACAAACATGGACGAGTATAAAAGTGGGTATAAAAGTAGGTACAAACATCATTTTTGTATTTATTAATGGTTAGGTTCTCATATTTATTAATTCTCAGTTTTATGTATTAAGTTCTTTAATTTTATTTTAATACCCCGAGTATCAAATTCATTAGTTTTGTTTAATTAATAGAGTTGATAATTTGATTAACCGGTTTCTCTTGTAGTAGTGAATGTCTTTTTGTTTACTAAAACTTTCGGTTTCAATTTTTACATAATTATTATGTTAGAAATCTAACTTCACCAATTTAAAATGATTGTAAACTTGAACATATTTGTATTTCTTATAATTTTAAACATTGAAAATTTTTATGTGGCAAAAATATCTCGGTGATTTGTAGGATAATTTAAAATATTAGAAACTGAACGTTAAGGATTGGTTCAGCTCCATATTGTTTCTACAAATAGTTCACAAGAACCGAATAGATATTTAGAGTCGAGATTTTTTAAATGGGTTTTCCTATTAACCAAACCGATCTCAGGCGTGTTTTCAATGATAGGTGATTACTCAATGTGATCGAGAAAAAAGAGATAAATTGATTATTTTAATTTAAATGGAGAAAATAGTATATCTACAAAAATGGAAAAGGTGAGAGAAAATAGACTTTGACGTATGTCTGTTACAAAGTCATATATGAATCTTACACGGGATTCCAGAAAAAAAAGTAGATGAAAAGGAAATTAAAAATGATGCAAATGAAAATAAAAATAAATTAGGTCTTAGGATTTTTTTACTTAGACTGAAATTTTTTCGGTCTGACCTTGTCTGATTTATTCTGATTTGATCGGATCTGATCTAGTCTCTGTGTATTTTACAATTATTGGAGTCTGATCTCATCTAATTTAATCTAGTCTGGTTTAGTTAGGTTTGGGACAAAAATAAATATAAATAAAAACTTAGTTATACATAAAAATGGTTGAGGTAAAAAACGTAAGGGCTAATTACCTTAATAGGAGTAATACATTGAATATTTGAATAAGTTATAATATAGGAGTTCAACGTTTGGTAGGAGTAAAGTTGTAGTGGCTGGACCATATTACCCTTAATGAAATTAATATTTTATATTTAATTAAAGAAAAGGAAAATAACTAAAATGAATCTACAGAACGTAACCCTCTGCAACGGTGCATCATATCTAAGTAGACAGCTATCGTGGCCACCTCCAAGAACGCGCTGCCGCCAACGCTGCCAGAGAGCCACCGTCGGCACCAGGGAGCTGCCGCCGCCCGTACTCCGGTGAGATCTGTGAGACAGCCGCCAGCCGAACTTCAACGAATATCATCTGTCGTCGTCACTGCCGCCGATACTCCAACGAGTATCATCTGCCGCCGCCAAGCTATGGCGAACCGCCACAACCACCTTCTCTTTTAGATGCCATTATTAGTCTTATTAAAATAATAATAAATTAATTATGCCATTTTCATATGGCATTGACAGATTTAAAAACATGGCATTCAGAAATCTAAAAACTTGGCAATTCTAGATTAAAAGATGGCAAGTTCGTATACTCCGTATGATACAATGGCACTTTACAAACGGAAACTCACGGAGGAATGGCACTATACGAAAAAAATGATATTTGCCACCATGACATTTTTGTTTTCCGGAAAACATGGCACTATAATTATATGACTTTTGCTTCATTGCCTTTTTTATGAAAACACTATGAACACCTATATTTTTTACTTCCATTTTTAGATTTAAAAATGCTTAGAAAAAGTAAAGTTCTTTTATAAAATAAATTAGTAGGGAAAAAAATAAAAATAAACCATTACTATGGTTCGTACGTCACTGTCATCCTTAGCTGAGTCTTCAAAGAAATGGTAATATCCACTTCTTGATTACATTTGTGAGTAGTATTGTTGAATGTCACCCACCCCTATTGTGTGGTTTGTGTTTGTTGTTAATTATTATTTATTTTTTTGAAAACATTATGGTATTTTCGAAGTTTACACTTGAAATATTGAGTTTCATGAAGCGAGAACCACATTGTAATGGTGGTTTGGGATCCTTAAGGGGCCAAATTGTAGGATTTTGATTTTGTCTGGGAGATCGAAATATAACGTCTGTGGACAGGCGATTTAGGTTGTACAATTAATTTTGGTGGAATTCGTTTTGTGTGTTGACATATGATTTGATTTGTTCGTAGTTTGTGATGTGTGGTTGTCTTCCTTGGAAATTGATTAATTTTTTAAAGTTTCAATGTACCTAGAAAGACAATGTACTGGAGGTTTGGGGTTGTTAAGGGGCCATCTTGTAGGATTTTGATACTGTTAGGGAGATTGAATTATAAGGTCTGTGCACAGGCACTTTGGGTTATTCAATTGAATTTGGTGTAATTCATTATGTGTGTACAATATGACTTCATTTGTGTTATTCGTAGGAAGAAGCATGAACTGCTCATTCTCGTTGATTCCCGTTTTCCGACCGAATATTCTATGTGCTTCTATTTTGGCAAATTGGGAAACTAGTTGGATACCATACCCATTAGTCAACGGGAGTTGTTCAAGAAGCTTCCATGGGGAAATCTTGCTAACACTCCAGACCTCCAATTTTCTAGCCAGATTGTTCACATGTTGTTGTTGCGGCTGGTTCGGCAACAACCCGTGGATGAACTATGGTTATCCATAAGAGGGAAGAGTTATAAGTTCATTTTTAAAGATTTTTGTAAAATTACCAAACTGCCTGCATACATCACCCGACCCACATTTGTTAAAAAGAATGCGAAAAGTGGTGTGGCAGGTTTGTTCTTTAAAGGAAACAAGTGTGTGCCATACCAAGAGTTGAAGGAAACAATGGAGGACATCAAACCGAAGAAGAGGATGGACCCCTTACCAATGGTGAAGTTGGCTTCACTTTTCGTGGTTGATGGTGTATTGCTGATTAGGGACCACTCAACGAAGATTAATCCTGACCATTTCTCTTGGTTCGAAGACTTTGAGAACTTCCAAAAATATCCTTGGGCACTTGAATCGTATAACCTTATGGTCACCAATATGAAGTTGTTGATGCATGGTCAACCAGACAAGTTTGAGGCTGCGAAAGCTAAGAATCCCGATTATAAGAATGCAAAGTTCTCTGTTTGGTCCTGACCTCACGTCTTGCAGGTTTGTTTTTACATGGTTTGTTTACTGCGTAAATTGTCTGCGTGAGAATCTTATTTGTTTGTGGCCAAAAAGTGAAATCTGAAGAAGCTAGTATTTTGAATTGGAAAGCTGTTGGTTTTTTTCACTATTCTTCTTTGAAGGAACTAGTATTTCATGATGAGCCTTTACGAGAAACGGTAAAAAGTTGTTATGTTTTTTTGGGAATAATATGCATGAAACTATTATTACACATTCGAGTCTAATTATTTCACTTTGTAGTGTAGGATGATGAGAGTGACAATGAGGGCCAGAGTAAGGGTGAGGATGATGCAGAAGAAGATGACGCAGAAGAAGATTATGGAGAAGAAGATGAGGATGTGAAACTCTTCCGGAAACTGAAGCTTATGCAACAACTTCAAATGTTAGGGATGACATTAAACGACTTAGGACAAATGTTACAGGTGTTGAGGCCACACTTGGTGAGGTGAAAGACATGTTATCCAAGCTGGTGGGGGTGAGTGTGCATGGCAAACCAGAAGTGCCTACTACAGAGAAGGTATGATTTCCAAATGTCTGTGCAAGTCATTTATTTTTTCTGTGAAGTAAGATGTAATTGTCTGTGTACATATATGTAATTGTCTGTGTACTTAGATGTAATTATCTGTGAAGTTATTCACATTTTGTCTGCGGCGTGCTGTACAGGCTGGACAAGAGGATGAAGTTCAAAGTGTAGAGGCTAATGTGAAGCATGATTCTGTTGAAGATAATCAGGGAAGTGAGCATGGCATGCCGGAAGTGGCGACTGCAAATATGGTATGATTGCAAAATGACTGTACATGTCATTTATTTTGTCTGTGAAGTAAGATGTAATTGTATGTGTACACATATGTAATTGACTGTGTAATTAGATGTAATTGTATGTGAAATTATTCACATTTTGTCTGCGGTGTGCTTTACAAGCTGGACAAGAGGGTGAAGTTCAAAGTGTAGAGGGTAATGTGAAGCATGATTCTGTTGAAGATGACCAGGGAAGTGAACATTGCATGGCGGTAGTCCCCACAGCCGAAAAGGTAAGATTTGCAATTGTCTGTGCAAGTCATTTGTTTTGTCAAAGTACTTACATGTATTTATCTGTGAAGGAGGAGGATGTTGAAGATGTTGAGGGCAGTGTGAAGGAGGAGGATGTTGAACAGCCTATGTCCAACAACAACACTATTGAAGAAGGTCAAACACATGACGATGGTGTAGTTGTTCACTCATGTCCTAAATCAACGCTCATAATCCATATTTTGGAAGAAGTTAGTGACTAATTATTTCATATACAAACTCTTTTGATTTGTCATAAATGTTTCCTAATATATCCTATTTAGTAGTTAAAGTTCGTAGTTAAAGGGTGTGGATGTGGTCTTAGGAGATTATCAGTCACCCCTGCCTAAGGTTAAGTTGTTACCAGTATATTTACATTCAATTCACATCACACACATCAATTCGCTTTCCTAGCATCTCTAAACATCTATTGTCTTTTGTTTGGTAGGATGATGTATGTCTGCATGAAGAACTAAGTCCCAGGGCTGTTTGAAATTGTGGAATGAGAATATCTTCTTCAAGATGATGCTGAACTAACCAAACCACAATCTGCCCGAGAGGAAATTAAAAAAAGGAAGAGGTTTGTGTCAAAGTATCATAGTAGTCCATTTATGGATCCATGTGCTAAGCGAAAAAAGACATGTAAACATGGAATCGGGACAGAAGTTGAGGAGGAAGATAAAGTCTTCAATGAGCTCAAGAGTTGGGTAGAAGCCCCTGTCGGTGGCAAATCAGTGTGTTTAATGTTGGACATTCCAGGTTGTGACAGTGTTGATAGATAGTTCTTCCGCTAGATGATAGACCATGAGGAATGGCTAAGCAGTGTGGTAAGTGTACACGGCAATGCACATTAAAATGTAATACTAACTTCCTGTGTACATAGGAATTACACCATAATTGCCTATGTTCCTAGGAAATTGACATTTATTTTAACCATTTAATTGCAGCACATTGATGCCCTGACCAACATTATGAAGAGTCAGGCCATTTCATGTCAACAGTCTGAATTAGTAAGCCTGTATTTTGCGGTAATGTCTAAAATCCACATCTTCTATAGTTTATGTTTCTCCCAATACTAATAAACGTGAAGGATCGATCCCACAGCCGGGAGGCAGGCTACAGATATTGTCCGCTTTGGGTTTCCCCTCACGGATTTAAAACGCGTCGATAGTGGTGGAGAGCCTAGGCCTTAAAAGGTACCAAGGACTAAATTCTTCTTCTGATTCTGAATTGATCGCTTTGGTGGTGCCTCCATCACAAATTCTAGAGGGTCAGTGGAGTATTGTCCCTCCATTTCCGCTGCATCATTTTCAAATGACCTCAAATGATCACGCAGAGTGCAGAGATCAATTTCATCAAGGTCAAGATTTGTTAGCACATCTTTAACTATTTTCCTCCACTCAGGATGAAAACTTGACATTAATCTAATATTCATCTCCATGTTGGATTTGAATATATTGATCTTTCTGAGTTCATTAATCAGTGTGACGAATCTCTTGTGTGTTTGGGTAAGAGATTAGTCGGGCAGTGCTTTAAAGGAGTCGTAGGCTGTCAAGGTGTTGGCTTTCTTTGTCTTTATCCCAATGCCAGTTCCTTGTAGAAGCTTAGCAATTTCATCCCACATTTCTTTGGCAGTTTGCATACTGTCAATCATTACAAAAATGTCATTGGGAATTGCCTGAAGCAGATAGGTTTTCGCCATCATATCAGCTTTCAATCTCAATTTATCTTCAGCTATTTGTTCTGTTAATGTCTTCAAACGTCTAATGGGTTCCATTGGAGGATTGTTGTCGCCTGTTGGTGGTATTGTGATCCATAGTTCAGCAGGTCCTTGTAGCAGGGATTCCAGCATTGCTGAAGAGTTGTCTTTGTTTTCCAAAAAGTTGAGAAAGCGGGTTCTCCACATTTGATATTCACCATTTCTAAGAATGGGTGGATTGTTTCAATTTCCTTGTGCTAGGGAGTCTGAAGCCATTGCTGTTTTAAAGAAGTTGACCGTTCGAGATATTTGATCAAAAAAAAATTCTAAGGTAGAAAATTAGAGATTCTGAGTATCGAAAACCTGATCTCGAGATCTTAGATTTCGAAAAAGAGATCTCGAGATTGTAATCTCGAGTGTTAGAATATCGAGTTCTCAGAAGTCAAGATATGAAACTCGCAATTACAAAACTCGAGATAAGACTTTCGAGTTTTGAAATATAGAGTTTTCAAGTTTCGAGTTCTTGATTTCGAGATTCTAAAGTCGAGAGTCCAATGTCGAGTTTAGGAATTCGAGACCCTGAATGTCGAGTTCCTGTAAAAAGAAAATTTCGAGTTTTTCAAATACAAAGATTGTTTTGAGGAGCCCTTGATGTCGAGATCCTCCTGCCAAAGTTTCAGATCAAAATGCTGAGTAGAACTTGAAGAACTTGTAGTTTTGAGTTCTTAATGTCGAGTTCTTAGAGACTGAAAAAATGCGGAAATACAGAAAAGAGATATACTGCGTGATCATTTCAGAGATGCGATTCTAACAGTATAACTTTTACAACATTTAACGCAAAAACAAAATTACAGAGAAGAAACTCGAAAAATAAAGGTAAACGAAACAAAAGCAGAGTCTTTCACAGGTTGTTCGTCTGATCAGATCTCGATCGGCTCGGATACCAGTTGTTGGGGGGGATTGTTAGGTATGGGCCTTTCAGTCCCTCGAACCGGTTGAGAGGCTAGAGAGTGGTGAGGGGAGGGTTGTGCGTGCGCAGTTGAGCCAGATGATGCGGCTTCTACTCGGGAACCGAGAAGGTCGGCTCCTGTACTTAGGGATTCGGCTCGGCTTATCTGGATAAACGGTTGGCAGTCAGCAAAGATGTCCAGATCGTCCTCGTCTATCAAGCCCTTTTTGACGAGTCGCCTTTTCTTAGGCTTAGAGGAGATGTCATGTCTGACCTTTGCACGTTTTTCTCGGATGATGACGTCTTCCGAGTTTTCGATGACGTGTTCAGCCTCATCATAATCTGATTTGGAGGTGTCAATTTCGGCGTGCACACTCTTTGCCGAACATTGGCCAGAGGATCCTTGATAATGAACGTCATAGGACGAGTTGCCAGAACAGCGTGGGCCTCTTCAGCTGTGATCTTTTTGCGAGGCTTAGCAATCATTTTTCCTTTTCGGATCAGGGCATAGGCAGCCTCAATGTCGTCATCATCATCGTCGTCATCCTCATCAGTACTGCTCATGGCCACACTATCGGAGGCCTCATCGTCAGCCTTATTGTGGGCTGTGCTGAGCGATTCATCGGCAGGTTCCTCAGTGTTCGTCGGTTTGCCCTCAGTTGCCTAAGTTATCTCGGAAGAGTCGTCAGACTTTCCTTCATAGGGCCGACGTGCCACTGGTTTCTGTGGCTTATTGGCTCTATTGGGACCCTCACTTTCACTCGGCTGAGTCCCAGGGGTAGGTCCAGTGGGGTTTTGCAGAACCATAGGCACTATTTTCTTGAGGTCTTCTTTGTATTTGACAACTGCTGTGTCACGCCCCAGACCTACCCGGACACGTCAACAACCCACCGTACAGTACGAATAGTCAACCGCAGTCCAACTCATCCATACTATACAAGGCATCTTGAATACCATTCACACATAGTACATCCATAAACAAACATAATGTAAAATATTCATTTAAAGCAGCGGAATCATTTAATACAAGTGTTCAAGCCACACTTCGCATAATTAGGCATACAAGCCCCCAAAACAATTGTTCAAAAATAATATCCATGAGCATTATTTAAATTGTTTTCAAAACAAAAACGGAAGAAGCACGAACCAAGTCTTCTTCCCTTGATCTCCCTGAAGCAACGGGCGGTGGTAGCAACCTTCAAGTTCTACCTGAAACTGTGAGGTGGCCTCCCCCGTGAAGGGGAGGTCAGTACTTGGAATCATTTGACAAGTACAATGACAAGTATACCGAGTATAATCAACGCTTAAATTTCTAAGACCCTTAAAATAGGGTGATGATATAATATAAATAATAATTTATATTTCCCACTTATTATCTCTATAATATGTAAATTCATTTATTTGTCGACACACGGCCCTTCTCATATATTCTTTTGCATTTATCCTTCGTACAACCCAACCCGTGGGTCTTATTACTTCTACGGGATTTGTTACCGCTGTCGGAGACCTCATGAGGCTCTCGGTTCGGATTTCAACATCCCGCCCCTGGACTCATACCCATCATCCCGTAGGAAGGTAAGGCCCTTCGGGGTCCTATCTTATGTGTTACCGCTACCGGAGCCTAGTTAGGTCTCCGATTCGGATTCCACCCTAACCCGTGATCACGATCCAAGTCCATGCTATCCAACCCCGCTCTCTAGAGTCGGGGAGGGCCATGGTCCTTACTTATTCCCATAACTCAACCGGCTATCCTCAAGGACTACCGAACACGCCTCTAGGCCAATCCTATACCTAGGATCAATTTATCATTCAATTTGTCTTGGGCATCCCTTAAGGCCTACCCCTAGTATAACTTAAAGTTCATACTTTCCTACCTTAAAGCATCTCTTAAGACTACTTCACAATCCAACCTTAGGATCAATTTTAACAACATTTCATTTTAATGTCCAACTAGTATATCAATACTAGTCCAATTAATTCCAACAAACCAAGTTCTCTATTCATGGTCATTTATAGAATGCTCCGCTGATTTTCCATTGAAAATATCATCATTATATCAATATACCAAAATATCACTTTTAATCATTCATATATTCTTATATGAAGTAAAAAGTATATTTCAACATGCATTTCATAGTTAATTCCATTTTCAAGTCAACATACTCATAACACATGATCATACATAATTTATTCTTAAATTTGTATATCATACTCCTTTTCTCATAGACAATAATCTTCTCATTTTTAAGCATTATTAATCATTAATAATCCATAAAAACACATTTAATTACTTTAGGTAATCTCATGAAATTAACTCACTAATTATAAGCAACATAGTCAGCCATCCTCACCTCGTGATGTGCTACAATAGTTGCCTTTGTTAAGCCCCTCGATCAATCCTCGTTCTAGGTCGATTGAAAGTGGAAAACTGGACTGCTGGGCAAAAGTCGGGCGGCTTTCACGAAATCCGGGCGGCTTTCGTAGTCTGCAACTACGAACAGCTCCTTTGGAATGACGGTTTCCGGTGATTTCGACTCCTCAAGCCATCTTCTTGGATTTCCTCTCCTCTTGCTTCCTTCAAGCTTGAGATTTTTGAGAGGTGATGTCTAGAGCTTCTCTCTTCCCTTGGGTTATCCGTATGGCTCAAATGAGGGGGAGGTATCTATCCTCAATCAAACACCAAGTTGAGGTGTTGATAGGGCCAATAGGGGTGTGGTTGTGTCCCCAATCACTTCCTTCCCCATAAGTCCGAATTTGCCATTTCATTTTGTCTCCATCCCATTATTTGGAGACCACAAATTTTGTAGGAAAATCCCCAAGTGGGTGTAGGAAGTTTCCCCCGATTATTATTGCTATTTCTGGCAGGTTGGGTCAAAACAGTACTTGTTTTCCCAAACATTTGTTCAACCTTAGTTGACATTTTATTGGGCTTCTATAATTATTACGATGACCCAACTAAATACTTGGTAGTCCATCATCAACATAATGGACCCGATAAATAATTTAATTAATCATGCATTAATTAAATATACCAATCTGTCACACGAAATTATTCGCTAGAAAATTCAAATACATACTGAATATTAAACTCAAGTACATCCGGGAGCGGTGTCACATGCTGGATTCCTTTGATTGGCTAGGTTGAGCAGATAGTCAGGAATGGCCATGCCAACAGTATCATGTTTGAAGCTTTCGAAGTATTGGAGCTTTGGGGCAATGAACTGCTCTTCATCTTGCCGCCTCGGGATGCCCTGATTTGCTTGCATGGATTCATCTATGATGAGGGCCAACCACCGAGCGTAGGAACCGTCATGCCAGCTTTGTTATTTTCTTTATCCTTGACCTGGTCCACCAGCTCCGTCCAAAAGAGATGTGCCATGTCGTAATTTTTATCGAAGGCTATCCCACGGAAGATTTGGAGGATTTGCAGGTTGCATTTATCGTGCCCAACGTGCTTCGGAGATAGACACTTCTGACGAGGCCAAACAGGGTCTTCCATGGGTATGGTAGATTCATGAGCTTGAATTTGGATAGCAACGGCAGTGGTGCATCATAGCCCAGAGTCTCCATTCCTCTGATCAGTTCAGTCTTTGATGGGAGCGGATCGTATGTTGTGTGCACCGGCAGCTCCAGAGTGGTTCTCAGTGTAGATGGAGTCAGCACGAGTCTCATGTTGTTCAGTGTAGCAAGGATCTTGGATCTGTCCTTCTTGGAGGGCGTGTGCATGCTATTCCATAATTTTTGCAGGCAAACCTCCGGGACAGGTTTTGCTTTGGTGAGTGCCGGCCATAGGTAGTGCCCCTGAAGAATGATCGGGATGACAGGGTCTGGGCACTTGAACGGCTTTAGGTCGAGCTGATAGTTGTTGTCCTGTAGCCGGAGCCATTTGTCCTTGGGAAACAGCTGAGTATTCAGATCGTGCTCGTTGGTTCCTGACATAGTGAACTGAAAGAGTAGAGGTTATCATAAAAGTTTCCTTTAGTTTTGGTCCTTTTCATAAGAATGCTCTAGTGTTTTAAAAATGGAGCAGGTGGATTTCGACAGAAATTTGCAAAGGCAAAACCTCGAGATCAGGAAGTCGAGGTTTAAAACTCGAGATCCAGAACTCGAAGTTTAAAACTCGATATCCAGAACTCGAAGTTTAAAACTCGATATCCAGAACTCGAAGTTTAAAACTCGAGATCCAGAACTCGAGGTTTAAAACTCGAAATCCAGAACTCGAAGTTTAAAACTCGTGATCGAGAACTCGAGGTTTAAAACTTGAAATCCAGAACTCGAAGATTAAAACTCGAGATCTAGAACTCGAGGTTTAAAACTCGAAATCCAGAATTTGAAGTTTAAAACTCGAGATCCAGAACTCGAGGTTTAAAACTCGAAATCCAGGACTTGAAGTTAGGTATGGGGATTGTTAGGTATGGGCCTTTCGGTCCCTCGAGCCGATCAAACCCGCGACTCTTAAACCCGCCTCTTCCGTAGGAATGCCAAAGAATCCCACACCGGTGGGCTAGGAGAGTCATTGGTACCTTTTAAGGCCTAGGCTCTCCACCACTATCGACGCGTTTTAAATCCGTGAGGGGAATCCCAAAGCGGACAATATTGGTAGTCTGCCTCCCGGTTGTGGGATTGATCCTTCAATTGGTATCAGAGCCAGGGGGCAGCACCGGTGTGGGGGGGATTGTTAGGTATGGACCTTTCAGTCCCTCGAGCCGGTCAAACCCGCGACTCTTAAACCTGCCTCTTCGGTAGGAATGCCAAAGAATCCCACACTGGTGGGCTAGGAGAGTCCTTGGTACCTTTTAAGGCCTAGGCTCTCCACCACTATCGACGCGTTTTAAATCCGTGAGGGGCAACCCAAAGCGGACAATATCGGTAGTCTGCCTCCCGGCTGTGGGATCGATCCTTCAAAGTGCTAGTTGGAGCTTAAAAGTGCAGGGAAAGGATTTCACAAGCAATAAAAAAAACTGGAATCTGCGATTATGCCCCTAGGTAATGTGATGCAAAAACTCTTCTTTGTTTTTTTATCAACTTAAAACATAAGATTGTGAATTGCCAATAAAAAACAAGATTTAATGAAGGATCACCGGCCGAAACCTAGAGCTAAAACCCGGTGAAAACCCAAAGCATAGCAAATTCTCCAATTTGGCTAAACGGAACTAACGCACCAAATTCATCTAATAACTTTTGAAACTCAAGTGCCATAAGAGAAAGAGTTTGTTCCATTAAATCTAGATGAATGAATTGAATCGGAGGTATGATCGCATTCCTTATAATCCAAGAAAAGAAATCAACCAATTACATTTGCAATTACTATAAACAGAGGGTTCAACTAAACTTACCAGACGTGAGTTTTGGTACAAGGCTGAGATGAGTTGATGAGCTCCAGGGGCGGCTTAGATGGAAAATATTTGGGAGGAAAAATAAGAACTAACAGGATGGAGAAACCAAATAGAGTAGTACTTGGCTCTTATAGAAGAAAGTGACTTAAATATTTAGTTTAAAAGAGACTTATTTGGACTAAGATTGATTTGGGCTCTTTATATTCTTTAAAAAAATCCAACATTAAAAGTATTTTCTATTTCAAAATAAACTGATTAAGCTTTAAACATTACTTAATTCTTCACTTAAAATACTGGTCAACGACTCAACGTTACATGCCAGAACAACGTGTGATCAAGCAATAAATCAAATTAGTCATAGAAGAAACTTATTTAATTGCCTAAAATAAATAATATTGATTAACATAACTAGCTCATAAAATTCGGGGTGTTACAGAGATGCCTTCGTGTTGGAGTGTAGTCATCTTCATTAAATGTTTGTACTGTTGATTTGATCGGCTGGTTTCCAACAAGTAGCCGACTTGCTATTTTGGGGGCGAGAAGATCTTCGTCTGGTCAATCATCAGCTTTAAATATTTCGACGTGTGAAGCTCATTAAATGAGCATTTAATGCATGAACAGTAGCGCCTTCTGTCTAGCCGTTAGGCAATATCCCGTTAGTTGTAACGACTATTTGAAACGTCTTTGAATGTTTCTAAGTGTGAGCAAGTCTGATGAGGTTATCTGATAGCAACTCTGGTGATCGGCTCTGGTGGCAACTCTGGTGACCAGCTCTTGTAGCAACTCTGGTCAAGACAGAAATCCAGGAGAGTTTCTGGCCAGTCGACTATGTTATTACATACAAAAACATCTAATACAGATGAACTAATGAGGGTTACTCTAATATCCTAATTAGCTTAGCATCATCAAAATCTAAATACAATTTTTTCCTTACAGTTATTACACATGCTTCTCAGAAAAATAAAGGCCAAGCAAATGATACACAGACTGGCAATACTTGCACTGCATTAATGGTTTTAAATCAACCATCTACTTAGAAGTTACATAATATACAGAGTGATGAAGAGACAGATATTGAGGAGGTCTTTCATGAGCAGCCCCCGGCCTCAAGACTGCAGGTTACACCTCCTCCAGAAGCAAGTACCTCGGATAATAAATACCAAGAGCATTGTTAAATGTTCTGATGACTTTTAGCTGAAGGAGTTACAGAAAAAGCAGCAATTTGATCCTATACTAGCTTCCAAACACTACTAATCTCATAGTGAAACTGGCAAGCAAATTAATACGAGAGAGTGGAATGATAGGTGGGAAGATATAATGAGAGCTGTCAGGAGGAGAACCAACCTAAAGACCATGTACATCCTACTGAAGACATTCAACCTGTTGATGCTAACTTGGATCAAGATTGTCAGGCACATAATGAGAGCTTCACAGAAGTCATACATAAGATAAATAGAAGAAAGGACACAAATGTAACCTCTAGGGTTACTAGAAATGCTGCAAAAAAAGAAAGAATGATCAGTTATGTCAGTTCCTGTGCACTTGGACAGTAAGTTGGCTTCTCAAAATTTCCCCAACTCACCTAAATGAATTGTTTATGCTGGAATGTTAGGGGGTGGAATTTGCCAGAGCTACGTTAATTTCTTTAACTAAGCAATGGCAGATTCAGATTCTTGCAATCATTGAACCTATTTTGGATTATTCTAAAGCAGATTCTTTTAAGCATGATTTTGGTTTTTCTAAGGTATTATCTTCTAATTGCAATAAAATTTGGGTTTTCTAGGACTATACTGAGGTGGAAATTTCATATGCTTCCTTTCATGATCAGTTCACCCATTTGAAATTTAAAAGAGGACAAGTGGAAGGTTGGTTTACTGTGATTTATGGCAAGCACAATTATATTTTTAGAAGAGAGATGTGGGAATCTCTGGTGGACCTTTCTAGGAACATGCAAGACCCCTGGCTCATTGGTGGTGATTTTAATGCTGTAATGATCGAGTCATAATGAACATGAGAGAAGATCTATTCCTAATCTTAGTAGCATGTTGGATTTCTCTAATTGTGTAGCAGATTGTGATTTGATTGATCCTAATTACTCAGGTCCTACTTTTACCTGGGCAGGGGTGAGGGCTAATGGATGAGTTTGGAGGAGGCTTGATAGATACTTGATCAACACTAGATGCAATGATCTTTTCAAGAGAATTCAAGTTGATATACTTGATAGAACCCCTGTTTATTAGATGTTCTACTAGGGAATCTAATGGTCCTAGGTCCTTTAAATTCCAGAATATGTGGGTGAAACATCCAACTTTCTTGGATACAGTTCAAGCAAGTTGGAATAAGACTCCAATTGGAGGGGGTATGAGAGGCTTGATGTGCAAGTTAAAATGTCTCAAAAATGATTTAAAAAGATGGAATAAAGAAAATTTTGGAAACATTTTTGAGGATATTAGAAGATGTGAAGAACAAGTGATGCAGGCTGAAAAGAATTTTATGGAACATCCTACTGCAGATAACAGAGAAATGTGGAACCACTAATTAAGAGCTCTTCTTATCACTAAGCTCAATCTGGAAAGAAAATATTGGAAACAAAAGTCTCACGTTAAATGGCTCAAGGAAGGTGATGCTAATACCAGTTATTTTCATTCTTATGTGAAAATCAGGCATAGGAGGCAAAGTATTAGCTCTATTCAAAATGAAGAGGGTGTTATGGTTTCATCTTTACCTGATATTGGGAAGGCTGCCATTGACTTTTACACCAAGCTTTATTTTGTTTCACAACCTACTGCTGAAGATATTTTTCATTTCATTCCAAGCGTTGTTACTGCCGAAGACAATCAACAATTAATGGAATAACCCCAAGAGGAGGAAGTTAAAAAGGTTGTGTGGATTCTTAATCCAAATGGGGTTGTTGGGCCTGATGGATTTAATGGTAAGTTTTTTAAAAAATGTTGGCATATTGTTGGTGTTGATCTAGTGAAAGCTGTGCAAGAATTCTTTCTACGCATCTATATTCCTAAAGGGTTATCTAGCAGTTTGATTGTGTTAATTCCTAAGGTTAATAACCCATCTTCCTTTGCTGATTTTAGACCCATTTGCCTCTCTAATTTTGTGAGCAAGGATCCAAATTCCGAAATAATAATATTGTCTTACGTTGCCTAAATTCATCTGCTCTCGTAGATTAGCTCTCGTAGTTGGATTAAACTCCATCAGTGAACAATGACTACTAAACGTTAAAAAATTATTTTCAACTGCAAAATAAAAAATATGCAGGAATAATTTATTTGAATGATATTATAGAAATATTAGTTCAACGAAGGTTGTTGTTAAATAATATATAAGTATATAATAGCAAATAATTTTTGTAGTAAACAAACAACAATTAAGATGGTGAAAATTAAAACTAGATTTTTATATTTTGATCAAATCGCAAGTTGTATAGTCAACCCACAACCTGTGCATGTTGACCCACGAAATCCGTGAGTTAATCATGTTATTAAAATACAATCCACCATGAAACAAGCAAGTTCGATGAAGTTCAACTCATTTTGACATTTGTATATATAGTCAATTGAGTTCTCTTTGAAACTTCGATTGATGAATTCATATACAATCCATGGTGCCTATAAATTTAAGAAAACGGTCTACGAATTACGACAATGAATGTTGCATGAAATTAGCCGACATAAATTATGCTATTAAATATTACAAGTACTTCTCACTAAGGCTGTTTGGCCGAGCCGAGCCGAGCCCGAACACCCAAAGCTCGAGTTTGGCTCGATAAGCAATTAGTGGTGTTCGGGTTCGAGCTCGAAGCTCGGCGAGCTTTACAAATAAGGCTCATGTTCGGCTCCATAAGCGTTCGATGCTTGAACCGATTCAACCGAACGCTTGATAAGCTCGATAAATATGCTCCAATTTAAATTTTTAGGTGATGCTCGTTAATAGGCTCGTGCTCGAATGATTCGACAAATATTCAGTTCGTTAATAATCATATTTAAATTCATAAAATCATATTAATTATATTTAAATTTTGACATGTATAAAAATTATATTTATAATTTCAGGGTGTTCGATAGGCTCGCGCTGAATCGAACCGAATACTACTATGTTCAAGTTCGGCTCGATTAATTTTTCGAACTTAAAACTCAGTTCAGATTCGAGTTCGAAAGCTCGTTAAGCTCACCTCGTTAGGTTCGTTAAAACCCTACTTCACACTAGAATTATTGTAATCATTATTGTTGTTGTTGTGACTTTGTATTATTATTGTACTTCATATTTCATATTATATTGGAGGGATATTGCCCTAAATAGGAGTAAATGACTTTGGGAATTTCAGAATAGGACTACTATGTTTTTATTTCGGAAATATGAGTTGTTATTGTCACGATCGAGAAATACTACCATGATTGAAAAATATTGTCATTAATTATAATAAATATTATCATATTGAATTCATAGTACTACAATTATTTGACAGTTATAACTAAAAGATGGCAGTAAACACTATCATCTTACTCCTATTTCGAGAGAAAAAAATATAGCACTCCTATTTTGAAATTCCAAACTCTATTTAGTCCTATTTTAGAAAATTTCCCTATATTGGATCATTATCATTCTTTCACCCCACCTACTTTTTCAAATATAGTTTTCCACAATAAGGATGTTTAATTGGATTAATTTCCGATCCAAATCAAATTTGGTCTACTAGGCCATATCAAACTTAAACAGATTAGGTAAGGTCACACTAAGGTCACACTGGATCATACCAGACCATCATTCAACAGTAATAAAATTAATATAAAACAAACATTTGTAAGAATAAACCAGACCAAACAAGTTAAAATCAGATGAGAAAATTTCAATCCAATTTAAAACAATCCAATTAGAAATGATGTCCTTAAAACATTATAAATGTACTTTTATTGAAAATTCATAAGGTAATGGTGTCGTTGCATAATATATTATGTAATACTAAATTTACATTCCAACAAATGGCAGTAGGAACTATAAACTTATGATAAAAATATCAAAAAACGCTTTTTCATGTCTACACCATGCCTAAACTTGCCTACACTTTTACACTTTTAGAACAATGCTCCAAAATATTTTAGATCATTCTTTACTTTCCTAGACAATCTAGTGTTTCCCAGACATCTCTACAACTTTCTAGATTTCTTGTGGACTTCTCAATTAAGAAGAGAAATGAAGAATAAAATTCAAAGAAAAAGTTTGTTTGTGTAAAAAAAATCAAATTCTGAATGTCCTTAAGATGAGAACTCAAAAAAGAAAATGACCTAGCTACCGAAATGAAACGATTCATAATGATCACGTCATTGGATAGAGAAATTCAAGAGTTGATTATAGTATTAGTTTAGGGCCTTTAGGCAAGAGAGGCTTTTACGATTTTCTAATGTCTTGAAATATTGTTATTATTATTATTATTATTATTATTATTATTATTATTATTATTATTATTATTATTATTATTATTATTATTATTGTAAATTTTTTCAAATCCACAGTTGACCAACCAAAAAGAGGTTGGGGTAGGAGCCGGGGTACATATTTTCTCCGCTCCTAGGTAGGGGTGGAGTCGGGTCCGGGCCGGGTCCGGGTCGGGCCTAGGCCCGGGCGGGTCAGCGGTTCAGGAATGGTGGACCCGGGACCGGCCCGGGTAACCACCGGGTCCGGTCCGGGCCGGGTCCGATCCGGTCCGGGTCCGGGCCGGGTCCGGTCCGGTCCGGATCCGGGCCGGGTCCGGTCCGGTCCGGATCCGGGCCGGGTCCGGCCGGGTCCGGATCGGGCCGGGTCCGGGCCGGGCCGGTTCCGGGCCGGGCCTCCGGTTTGGATTTTTTTTTTTTTTTTTGCTTTCCTAACCCCCCCCCCCTCACCCCCCACCCTCCCAAACCCCCCCAAACCCATCCTACCCATCAAGCCCAACCCGGGTGGAACCCCAAAAATGAAAAAAAAATAAAAAAAAAATCAATTTGGCCCGAGCCCGAGCCGGCCGGGCCGGTACACCAAATTTGAGACCCGAGTCCGAACCCGCCCTACCCCCGAGCCTAGGCACGACCCGGACCCGGACCCGAGAACCGGGCCGGTCCCAGTCCCGCACAGTAGCGGGCCGGGCAGGTCCACGGGCCGGGTGGCCCGACCCGAGTCCAACCATACTCCTAGGCCTTAAAAAGTACAAGATCAACATTGATATCGAATTGACATGCTACCAGGGCATCCCCAATCTTATTATTTTCTAAATTTTCTTTAAAATATTGGTTACACATCCAAGTATCCAACCAAACCATCATAAACTAATGATAACATTAAAGGGAAAAAGGTCAAATAGGCTCTCGAACTAACTTAAAAAGTGCAAATCACCCCTTATATAGGAGGCTCTGTGCGGCCGTCATCATTTGAGACGGTTCCCGGTGAAATTTTTTGAGCATCTTCTTCATTAAGTTTAGTTTACTCATACCAAATTTCAGAGAAAAATTCAACCGGGAAGACAACCAAATGATTTTCTGAAATGTACTGCGCTGTTTAACTGCGCAGTTATCTTCAAAAATTCATTTGACTACCTTTCCGATTGAATTTTTAGCTGAAATTTGATATGACTAAACTTGACTAAAAAAATCTCATCAAAAAATTCCACCGGAAACCACCCCAAATAACGACGGCCGCACAGAGCCTCATATATAAGGGGTGATTTGCATCTTTTAAGTTAGTTCGAGGGCTTATTTGACCCTTTTCCCTAACGTTAAAGTCTAGGGATGGACTCGGGTCCGGGCCGGGTCTGGCCTAGGCCCGGGCCGGTCGGCGGTTCAGGAGTAGTGGACCGAGACCGGCCCGGGTAACCACCGGGTCCGGTCCGGCCTCCGGGTCCGGTCCGGCCTCCGGGTCTGGTCCGGGGCCGGGCCCATTATCAATTTTTTTTCCCTCTTCCTAATTAACCCCCTCCCACCCCCAACCCCCCAAACCACCCCAAATGGCCCAAAATACCCAACCCACACCGAAAATTCAAAAAACAATTGGAAAAAAAAAATAGTTTTGGCCCGAACCGGGCTCGGGCCCGACCAGGTCAGGCCTTGTTTTGGGTGACCCGAGCCCGGACCGGAAAACCCACGGGTCGGGCCTACCCGGACCGGTCACTGACCGGGCCACCGGGTCGGGTCGGGCCGGAACAGTACCGGTCCCGGGCCGGTTCCGGGTCGGGCCACCCGGCCCGAGTCCATCCATACATTAAACTATTTCAATCACAACTTCAATATAAATATCGGTTCTACAACTCCAATCGTTGCAGCTGATGGAACCATCTCAAGCCATTAGCAAAGATATGTCATGCACAGGATGCTGTTTATATACTACGTATTACTTTTATTACTATTATTATATTTTATTACTCCGTCCTGCTAACGATGGGACAAGAGGAAGTGGCACGCAAATTAATAAAAAGTGGTTTATGTGGTTAATATTAAATTGATAAAGTAAGAATAAAGTAAGAATGATTTAGAGCCACACAAACTTTACCAAATTTGGTATGGGACAATCTTAGTGGGACGGACCGATAAGGTAAAATAGGACAATCATAGCGGGACGAAGGTAGTACTACTTATTACTTAACAAGAAATAACAAAGATTTCTTCAAAAAAAGTAACAATGATAAAAATCACCTTATAAGTCTTTGACATCCTAGATTGTTCCAACAAGGTGAGGACATCGCATTGTAAGTTAATTTTATGTTCACTCCGACAAATTTTCAGCCGGCATACTACTCCCTTGTCATATAAATTATTTGTAATGGAGTTCAATTCCCTCCCTTGAGTATGTCATAGAATTGCAATGGCTTTCTCTTGGGGGATGAACAATTCTCCTGAAAAAGAAAGCATGCGTGGTGTTAATTTATTTAATACAAAAGGCATCAACTTTCATAAAATGGTGTTCTTTTTGTTTAATGACGAAGGACCCACAGACCACACAAAACGGTGGTCTTTTGTTTAATGAAGAGGAACCCATAGGCCTAGTATTGTTAATAGAGCAGTGTCGAGCTCAGCTTACTAAGGCTTTGAGCATGTATCGGCACTCAGATGCCGCTCGTTTTATGCTTAACCCAAGCTTAATCCCAATGGGAGCAAAGTGACAATTATGCCTTGAATACAAGCCAAACTCAAGTTCTCAATCCAAGCAGGCTCATCTACTCGTTTATAATTGGCCATCATACCATCATACTAAGCTCAAGTTCGACTCATTTTACCAACTAAACAAACTGATAGGTACACAGAAATCTGAGGTTGAATTGTTGAAATATGAAACTGAAATTGAAGAAACGGGAAAGTAACGATACAGTTGAGGCAAGTTCGAGAGTGCCTCGTCTCTCCCAGTCCTAATCCCAAATCCAAAATCTGCCTTCCTTCCCTTTCCCTCCCTCCCCTTCTTATACTAAAACAAAAAGGCCAGCCCAACTCATGACTCACCTGGCCCAGAAGCCTTATTTTATACTATCACAATTATTTACTAGAATTCTATTATTATTATTACTATACTAATGCTAATATGCCCGGTTCCTATCATATCTCCCCCCTTAAACAACCACCTTGTCCTCAAGGTGGGTGATAGGAAGAGGCCTGGAGTTTCAGCTTTATCTTCATCCTTGCGCCTCTTCCTTCCCAGTACATTCCGGATTTCTGGACCATGATCTTCATTACTTGACCCTTCATCACCCCTTTTGAACAAAGTTGTCCACCACCTGGTTTAACCAGATTCTCTTCAGAAAGAGGTATGCTGTCACTCTGGAGAACATAATGATTGTTCTCTTGCTCAGGTTTCCCGGTAGATCAGCCAATGTTCTCATAAAATTGTAACTCGTTGGGGTTTGTCAGTATGAAAAAAGAACAGAGTTCATTGTTTTTCATATCACAAACATTTGGTGCTGTAATAATATCTCCAAATGATTCAGGAAGTTTAAGGTCAACTGACTCTACTTTATCAGTGCCTTTCAATTTTATAAGCCCAGACAACCAATCAAGTTTAGGTATTCTTAAAACTTCTTCAAATCCAATTTCACTCCCAGCCGTGATATTAGGTATTGTCCAGCAAACTTGAGTCCAAACTTCTTCCTCTTTCATATGGATGAATGGCTGATAAACTGACAATACACCTTTGACCAGGGCAAATGGAGTGGGTGGCCTGCATCGCCATAAGTTTGATAAAGTCCCTGTAGAATTTGTCAACATAAAAAGCTCTGAATGCTCATTTGACTGAACTAGCAATGGTAGTATTGCACCATGACCAAGACCTTGATCGCTACAACTTGGGGCATCACAAGAAACCTTTCCTAAAGCCCAGGTAGCCTGCTCACGAAATTCATCATTTGGAAGGCTGCGTTCAATCGACAACAGCTTTCTTAATGGTGTTGTTGCTTTAATTCTTGCAAATGGATCCTCTGCAGCTTCAGCAACTGTCCTTTCAAGCAAAGCAGCTCTTGAAAGTGAGTTGGCATAACATGCGAGTAGGTTTGGCTCCCCTTTTAATATGGAAGACAAGTGTTTGTTCTCCAGCTCCCAGACCATAAGGCTTTCAATATTGTTCCCTCCAACGACCTTCAGCCTACCCTCTGTGATCCCAATAGCTAAGAGTTGTTGAATAGGTTCAACAGCCAGGAGAGATGCAATGGTTTCATAACCGGCAGCAACTACTGCTTTCTTCTCTTTATCAGTATTCTATTCAATTCTAATAGTGGCATACTGGCAATCAACTCCTTAGAACCTTCACCATTAAGAACTCCAGAAATAACCTGCCCCGGTTTCAGCGACACAGTTGTAGGTGATAATGCACCAGTTCCTGTCCTTACTAGAAAGAGTTGTGACTGATCCATTATGGGATTGGCCTCAGTTATAGATACAAAAACATCAGGCCTAGCATTCATCACACTAATATCGGATTTCCACTCAAGTGCTTGAATACTCTCTGTTTTATCTGTGATTTTTTATCTGATCCTCCAATTGCTTTGACAATTGCTCTTTCCCTTTTCTCGAACGAATTCCATTTTCCTCCCGCTCAGGCAGATTCGAAGCAACCAAGGATGAAAAGCTGTGAGAAGCAGCTAGCAAAGACCCCTGCGAACTGGAAATATATGATAGCGTTGATCTCTGGGACAGATGAAACGATGTCGGCGACTGAGACGACATCTGAGAACTGGAAACTACTCTTCGCGATGAAACTGAAGCTGTTTGCGATGACATCTGCGGACAGAAAGCTTCTCCTCTCGATCGCGTCAGACTTGGTCGTGAACTTCTGGCTGATGATAAAGTTCGCGATTGCGAACTGAGAGAGGAAGTTCGAGACTGTGAAGATTTCTGCGAACTGACAAGGTAGCCGACTTGCGACGAGGATCTATGAGGAACAAGTTGCGACGGAGAACTGGAACGATTAGGAGCGACTGGTGAAGACACCTTCGATTTCGAACTGAGAGAGGAAGTTCGCGACTGAACCTGCGCACTTCGCGATGCACAGGAAGACTTAGTTCGCATCTGCGAACTGTTAGAAACCGGACAATGCGATAATCGTGAATGCTGTGAATGTGATCTTCATCTGGATCGAAACTGTTCGCTCATCGCGGTTATGTTTGCCGCCATGTTTGCTGTCATATTTGCCAGCATGTTTGCCATTTTCTCCATTGATGCTTTCATCTCCTCCATAATTCGTTCTATATTGTCAAAACTCTTTTCCATTCGAGGCGTCATAAATACTTCCTCCATCGTTCCGGACTGTTGTTACTCTGAGATGATCGATGATTCCGATTCCCTGCCTCCAGGAAGCGAATGCTCTGATACCATTGATAGGTACACAGAAATCTGAGGTTGAATTGTTGAAATATGAAACTGAAATTGAAGAAACGGGAAAGTAACGATACAGTTGAGGCAAGTTCGAGAGTGCCTCGTCTCTCCCAGTCCTAATCCCAAATCCAAAATCTGCCTTCCTTCCCTTTCCCTCCCTCCCCTTCTTATACTAAAACAAAAAGGCCAGCCCAACTCATGACTCACCTGGCCCAGAAGCCTTATTTTATACTATCACAATTATTTACTAGAATTAATTTCCATCATTTGCAATGGAGCCAAAGATTCATTATTTTTTGGCTTGAGATTATGATGGAATAAAGCAAAATGGCTCACTAAACTGTCTGCGCTTCTTTGTTATGGAGCAGCAGTCAGTCCATGCAATTTTGGACGTGATTTTCACTATGGGTCATCCGGAAACAGCCTCTCTGTGCTTTAGCACAGGGGTAAGACTGCGTACATCCGACCCCCACTTACCCCACCGTAGGTGGGAGCCTTTGCGGCACTGGGGTAAATGAAAATGAAAATTATTTACTAGAATTCTATTATTATTATTATTACTATACTAATGCTAATATGCCCGGTTCCTATCACAAACTGAGCTGGAGCTCACAATCAGCTTGCTTCATATAAACAATGGCGCACAAATCACACCAGAGATATTAAAATCCACCACCGTATAAAATCTGTGGATGATAGATATCAGGAGGGGTTACACTTTGGTTGGTAAAGCAACCTTATCATGGTAGTCTGTTTACATGTAGGTGTGATGGGTACTCTGTTTTCATGTAGGTGTGATGCAATGAAGACAATACCTCTATTGCAGCTGCCAAATGTAAAATGGAAGCTTCACACCAAGGTCGGCCTATAAGTTGGATGCCTATAGGTAGTCCTTGCATGTCGTAACCAATCTGAACATTCAACGATATATATCACATATTGCCATCAAAGCTGTTTGATGCCTGAGAAGATTATGGTCACAAAATAAACCTCATACATTATGATGTTCTCACTTACAGGGACAGAAATGGCTGGAAGCCCCAGAAGATTTGCAGTTATAATGAAACGCATGAGATTTCCTGAAGAAACATGCACTATTAAATATTAATAGTTAAGCATATATATATATATATATATATATATAAAACTAAAAGTAGCATAAAGGCAAGCGTGTGAATACTAATAATCCCAAGTTCCTAAGAGCTTGACTATTACTTCATCTGTCCCACAAAGATGACCTTTATTACATTTCGGTCCATCTTCCAAAGACTGTCCAATCTGTAGATCAGGTGTGCATTTGATTTTCCCTTTTCAGGTTTGCTCTATCTAAACAAACTAAGATAGTAACTCCATTTTGTTCATTAAATAACTTCACAAAAGGGTACATCCGTACGTTTGATAATTGCATATGAAATTAATTATTCCAACTTAATTATTCTGTACAAAAGTATTTCTTGATCCTCGTATAATTTACATAAGTCTATCTTTAAGGGGCGGAACATATTTGCTTCAACCTTGACGAGTGGATAAACACTTTTCCTTCAGTTCTTTTTGCACTATACTCATGGCAGCATATAAGCACTAGACTAGACTAGACTTATAAAGGAGGGTCAAATTGAAACATAAATGAGATCCTCTTTCCACAAACTGATGCATCCTCTATTCAAAAATCACCAATACATGACAAGTGCCACATAGTGATGTCATCTAAGACACTTGGCAAGCATGAGGGTGTAATAGAGGAGGATGCAGTGGTTTTTAGAATATATGATCCCAAAAAAAAAATAGAATATATGATCCCAACCCAATTAAACCTGGAAGTAGAAAAGGTAAGGTCAACCTGACACTTGCAAATTTGACTCTCCAACAGCAAGAGCACTTGCTGGTATTATGGGTGCCGTCATGCTGAAGAAAAGAGTGCACACTTCTTAGTATCTTACTGAGAATTCAATTAGAGACAGGCTTAATTCATTGCATGATTTACATCTAATGAGCCTGTCAGGAAAACATCTAATTCCATAATAAATTATCATAACCGAAACCAAACAACTAACATACCCAGTTGTAGCAGTTACTATGACATCCACGTTCTTAAATATCTCCATATGGTAGTACATTAGCCTTCTCCTGAAATAAAAATATTCATAAGAAATTCATCGTGGCTATTTATCTTTGATTATAAATGAGAATTTTTCTTGTGAACTCCGTGAAGTAATTGAAAGCACAATATCACAACAAAGTGACAAACAAATATCATGGACTACGGTTGAGCTGTTTGAATGCAACTAAGCAAATATTAAGTATTCAGGTAACACAATAATATTTGTTACCTTTACCTCACTGCACTAGCAATTGATAAATTGGGCTCAACTTACCCCAAAAGGATCATGAAGAGGTGAGTTTTAGACATCCTAATATTATATATGTGATACTCAAAACACATCCATCAATCCAACCCAGGGTAGACAACTAAAGAATGGACAAATGGGCCCAAAACTACCCCCAAACAGGCTGCCCAAACCAATGAGTGGCCATGCATCCATGTTGAGCTGGGACTAACTCACCCTAAAGGGATCTCACTAGACTCAAACACAATAGACAACCATCAACAGCAGGATATTTAATAACAATTCTCAAGGTTTTTAAAATAATATTAAAGCAGTGTTAGATTCACATAAAATGCATGGAGAAAGAAAAAGTGAACTACTTAACTGCAAGATAAAGCATGTCTTACCTAAGGCGCTGAGCAGCAACATAATCTGATGCTGTGAATGACCGAAAAAGTGCCAAATTGGTTCGAGTATCATATGTCAATCTTGCTCCTTTCCTAATAAAAAATGATGATGAAACATGCATTAATTGCCAGATACTTACATCTGAAATCACATTAAGACCGGGGATCGATATATAAAGTTGAATAAGCACACCCTCCCTCCAAGTAAGGATTCAAAGAGCACAGTGATTCAGAGCCTATGGAAACAATATGTGCAGTCCGCATCTCATGCAGCTCTGGTATTACAATATCTATCACCTTGAACACAGTAAAAATAAAAATAAAAATAAAAAATCAAATGGAAAACACAAAATAATTTTCATTTGCATTAGAACATGTAAATAAATCTTTTGGGATTAAGGCTTGGATGTTGTTGTTGTTTTGTTGTTGCATTAGAGCATGTAAATAATGTCGTTTTCAAGAAGATAAAGCCATAAAGGTCCATAAAAGTAGACGCTCTATGCAAGACACTTACTTTGCACCCATACTTTTTTGATAGTTGATGCAGGACATCCTCACATTTTTCAGATATTTCAGGGGAGAAAACATCATTAAACCACTGAAGCAACAACCCAAATGCAATTAAACTTTGAAATGAAATAATCATTTGAAATTACATGTATACCATCTTCAGCAAAAAGAACGTTGTTTACCTCTGTATACTTTCCCAACCTCATTGATCCCAGAACGTCCGAACTTCCATTTGAAGATAAATTAGGTACACAAGGTTGGCCCTAGCATAGAAGTAGAATAGCATGATAGAAATATGGATGATTTTTTATATGAACAAACGATAAAAATGTATGATAAACCTGGTTCAGATGCACATAGGACATCAACATAATCAATTAAACAGTCTTAGTGACAAATGGATCTGACAATGCTCCGTTTTGTTTTGAAATAAAGGACATGAGACTTAAAACTACACAATAAAGTGATTAATAAGATTTGGGGTTCCATCCTAAAAGTTTTAAACTTATGAGAGGAGAAGTCCACAATCTTATATGTTGGTTTATTATTCTATAGTTAACCGCTCTGCGATAAATACTTCAACCCACAACCTAAGTTTATACCACGTTAGAACACCTTTTTTTGGAGGAATTATATGCACAGGTGAAAATTTTGAAATGTAGAAACAACTTGTTCAATTTAGTAAATCAACAATTCAAAAAAAACCGTGAAAATATAGGAATGTGAACACTACATTATCTTCTAGTTCATTTCATGTGTCCTCATTGAAGAGCTGTAAGGAGCCATCCCCTATTAACTTCAAGCTCAAACTATTAAAACGCTCTCTAGAATACTGCAGTGATGCTTTTCTCCAATTCATACCCCCCTTCAATTGATGCAAATTCCTCATAGCTTATCCGTCCATCTTTATTTGTATAGGCTAAACTAATGAGTGGATAAATAGACTAAACTAACCAAAAACAGGCTACTCCAAGTCTCCAAATCATGGATGTCAACCAAACAAACGTAGCACAACTGGACCACCCTGATACCATATCAAGTATTGGGCTTCCAAACTAAAAGGGTAACTTGATGAAGTAACTCAAAATCTTATATGTTGGTTAATTGTTAGATATTTAGCCGATATGGGACAAACAATTCAATAGTGATTAAGCATAACCAAGTTCAAAATTATCAAAATATTGGAAGGATTATTGCCAAATGAGCAGACTCTAGAAATGGGCATTCACAATTTATACATAAGTTGTAAGTATTCACTGCTGCTTGTTAACATTTCTACTGGAATATTGAAGGGGACGGGGAGGATTGAACTGCACAATTTGTTCAGATGTTTATATTATGATGCCAGAAAAAAGATAAGTTACATAACTATTAAAAATATGGGTGAAGTCGTGAAGAAAATAAAAGATTTGTCTATAGAGCGAGCAGAAAGTGAGCAATTTTGTGCCCCATATAGCGAACAGAAAGTGAGCAATTTTGTCTCCATATAGCGAAAGGAATGTGACCAATTTGAAGGCAATTACCGGTTTTAGAGAAATTCTATCTGCAGGAGAGGATCCTAATATTGCTGAATACCTGAAAAATTGGATAAGATTGCAAGACTGTCAGTATAAGAGAGTATGTTCCTATTTAATGAAGGGAAAAATAATTAAAATACCCCAAACTTTGAAGGAGTGTGAGATAAACACCCCAAAGTTTCACATGTTATTTAAATACCCCAAACTTTATATAAAAAATTATTTTAACACCATGTTCATGTATCATTTCTTTCAAAAATGTAAATTTATTATCTTAATTGCACAATTTAACATAGCAAATTGAAAACATTACAATTATATAGAGTGGGGGGGTAATACTATTGATTTACAATGAAAGTTTAGAATGTTAATTGTATCTTCATGAATGCTAAAATATTTTAAATTATGAAATTAACACCAAAACTTTGAAATTTTTGAAAAAAATAATACATGAACATGGTGCTAAAATAACTTTTTATATAAAGTTTGGGGCATTTAAACTACATATGCAAGTTTGGGGTGCTTACCTCACACCCCTTCAAAGTTTGGGGTAATTTAATTATTTTTCCCTTCAATGAAATATAAATTAAATATTTTCATTGTTGTAAAAAGCTCCGCATAGTCTCAAGTTCGCGGCACCGTGCACACCTAAGCATTAAGCTATCCTCGGCCAATGAAGTTATTTTCTGTCTTAGGTCCCACACTCCCACCTATTTCCACTTTGATCCCACTTAACCCCGATTAATCGCTACTTATGCACTAGGCCTCAGTTTGATTAGTGTACATAGCATTTTTTACAACATTGGACACAATACTGATTTATATGTCAAATAATGATGGGTAAGTTATGTATAGAAGATAATCAATCTATATTGATACTCTAGAATGGACGGATATCAATTTTAGAAAAGTAAACAGGACCATTTTTTCATAACTGATCAATACAAGTAATCAAATCAATCATGTTTGACTAAAGATCAAATAAAGCACACAGAATATAACATAAAACTGAGAATCAGGACTAATAGAATCTTACACAAGAATGGCGTCTTCAACAGTTGCTGTGATAGGTCCAATGATCTCCACAGTCCCAGCGCCACACATTGCTCTGCACAGACACACTAAGACTTGAAGATCACTCTAAAAAGTAGCTTATGTCAGCCCCCACGTTGGGTGCACACCAACTAAGACTTTCGTTTGTATTCTTCTTTAATGATTACATATATCACAAAAGGAAATGCATATGTTTATTTATGCAGAGAACAATTGTTGGATGATGCTAGCACTTGTCCCGTAGTGTTCGGGTGAACAGCAATCCGATGAAAGATAAGATGATGGGGTCAGTTAACATGAATCTATCGATGATATCGGAGCCACAAAGAAAAGAAAGATAAGGAAAATAAGAGAGAAAGTGAGATAAAAGGATCAGAAAAAGATAAAAGGACATAAGAAAGATAAAGGATAGAAATAACATAACATAAGAAAGATAAAAAAAGATAGAAAGATAAAAGAAAACGAGAGACAAAAGAGATCAATCCTCCACACGAATTTTCACTCTTCACTTTGTTCTCCAAAATCATACTCTCATCCAATCTAAGAAGAAGCATATCGGTTCTAATTCCTCGAATCCACGTCTGTTTGGGTCTTCATCTCCCTCTCATCTTCGCCTCTTCTCCCCACCTCTCCACTCTTCTAACAGGTGTATCACTTGATCTTCTACGCTCATGACCAAACCACCACAATCGAGACTCTTGCATCTTATATTCTATAGGTGCTACTCCCACCTTTTGTCTGATTATCTCATTTCTCAAGTGGTCTTTTGTGATATGTCCACACAATCTAACGCAACATATGCATCTCTGTCACACTCATCTTTTGAATGTGATATTATTTCACTGCCCAGCACTCTACACCATACATTAATGTAAGCCTAATTGTTGTCCGATAAAATTTACCCTTCGGTCTAGTCGGTATACTTCGATCACATAGAAATCATGATGCACTCTTCCATTTCGTCCACCCTGCTCTGATTCTGTGAGATACATCTCCATCTAGTTCGACGTCCTTCTGAATTATGGAGCCCAAGTAACGGAACATATCATAGACCGGTATCTCCTTGCCATCAAAGGTAATCCCACGGTTACCACTACTTCTACCTCCACCAAACTTGCACTCCATATAATCAGTCTTGCTTCGACTCCGTCTGAAACCTTTGGCCACCAATGTTTGTCACCATACTTCCCACTTTGTTTTAACACCCGACTGTGTCTCATCAATAAGTACAATATTGTCGGCAAACATCATGCACCACGGTATATCTTCTTAAATTGACTTCGTATGTTCATCCATGACTATAGCAAATAAGAAAGGACTTAGAGTCGATCCTTGATGCATTCCGATAGTGATAGGGAATTGTGTAGTCCTCCTTATAGTCTTATACTAGTACAGACACTTGTAGTACAAGCCTCATACATATACATGATGATGCTTATATAGTTACGTGCTATGCTTTTTCAAGTTAAGGCCCACCAAAGGACTTCTCGAGGTACCCTATCATATGTCTTTTCCTTCAAGGCACCATAATATGAGGAGATATTGAGGAAGTGATCAAGACAAGTGTTTAGGAACTGGACTTTCAAATAAACCACATAAGAGTGCTTTTCAACCTTGAAAATGTCAACCAAACACTCTGATGCTTCTTGTCATTAGAGTTAAAGCTAAGGTTGATAATTTTATTAATATCAATGGATATGGTGCTATAAATCCACTGGAGGACCATGGCATAAAGACAATCCCACATATTCGGATTCTGGGGGAAACCTCATCACATTTGTTGTTGTAGTTGGCTGTGTCAGTTGTCTTATCGCGGTCAGCTGTAGGAGGGGAAACCTGCAAGGACTTGTTCTGCATGATGGGCAATTTTGGATAATTCTGCCCATGCGAGGTATTCAGATTTTTTAACATCAGCAGTGATTGGATGACATTCTTGACTTTGGGGATTGTGAGAGTGGGAAAGGATGATGATTTCAAGGTTAGGAGAAGGTGGCGAGGCTGTAGGGGAGTGGTGGCCGACACTCCCGACAGAGAGAGGAGAGAGGCATGGGGGGGCTAGGACTAGAGAACAATACTGATACCATTCATGAAAGTATTCTTGTCTATTGCATTAACAAGAAATGCTTGATAACGCAACTTGTTAACGCAAGCATATCTTTTAATGCAACTTCAACCTACATGGGCAGAATTATCCAAAATTGAAGAAATTCAACCAAGCGCGGGTAAACGGCGGGAGTAACTATGACTCCCATTTTCCTTTATTTTTCTTGCTAAATAAATACATAATTGTACATACACATGATTAAGTATATTTAAATTATTAATTGACATTAAAAATTTAAGGGATAAGGGTCGGATAGGGCCTCGAACTTGGAAAAAAATGTCAAATAAGGCCATATTTAGGATGCTCTGTCTGGCCGACGCCATTTGGGGCGGTTCTCGGTGAAATTTTTTGATGAATTTTTTTGAGAATCATATTCATTAAGTCTACTTTACTCATATCAAATTTGAACTAAAACTTCAATCGGGAAGGTATTCAAATGAATTTTTGAAGATACTGCTCTTTTAAGTGCGCGGTTATCTTCAAGAATTCATTTGTATGCCTTCCCGATGGAAGCTTTAGTTCAAATTTGATATGAGTAAACTAGACTTAATGAATAGGATTCTCAAAAAAAATCATCAAAAAATTCAACCGGGAACCGCCCCAAATTGTGTCGGCCAGACAGAGCATCCTAAATATGGCCTTATTTGACATTTTTTTTCAAGTTTGAGGCCCTATATGACCCTTATCCCAAAATTTAATGATTAAAATTAAATTTAATTAAAAAATTAAATATGCACATGTTACAAGAAGAGTCCTAATGGCTTGATACAATTAATGTTTAATGTAAACAGGGCCCAACTCAACAACCTAAAATCCTAAATATTACAATACAACAATAATACTGTCAAACACCAGCATATCTTTTAATGCAACTTCAACCTACAAAAAAATGTATCCATAAGCACACATCTTACATATCCAAATTTTGAAAACCTTCTCAAAGAAAATAGGACGAGCAGTTGTTATATGAAAGGGTATGCATGGAAGAAAGATGTGAATTCAACTCTAGATTCCTCTACCGTGTGAGCTTACCCTCGCATGTCGGTACGTCCATATGTGGTCTTCAAGCCAACAACACCGCATAGGGAAGAAGGAATCCGAATAGAACCTGCTTTTTTCATAAAACTCAAGCTTTAATAACCATTATAATTACATAAATCTGGACAAGTTGATTAATAGTCCTAATGTGTTATAATTGAACAACCTCCACCATCTGTTCCTAGTGCAGCAGAGCACAATCCAGATGCTACAATTGCCGCAGGGCCCGAGGATGACCCGCCAGTGTACCGTTCTAGAGCATGGGGGTTTCTTGTTGTCCTGTAATGCAACATAGTCATTTCAGTCGTCCATACTATATTCATCTACATAACCATGTCATATTCAGGAAAGAGCAAGTCCAAATAACCTCCCACACCCCAAACAAGTGACATGAAGCATGACAATCCAAGTAGTACCCACTCATCACAAAAAGATACATAGTAAACAGAATTAATATGATTGATATGATTAATAAAGTCAAGTAAAAAAATCTAGAGTCATAAGCAGGATTCGGACTTAGAAAAGTTCTGCCTAGCCAAAATTAAAATTTTATACTTTCACCAAACTTGACTCTTTCTTACGAGATGGATCACAGATTTAGCACAATAAAAGATGAGTTTTTTCCGTCGGACTGATTGCAATATATGATACTCATGGAGACTTCGTAAAACTAAAAATTAGGGAAGCAATCTGTAGAATCATGTTCATGAGTTCATGTTAGCCTTTGGAGTTTGATAATTGGTACAGAAGACTAACATTTTTAACTATTAATTGTTGTTTTTGAACTAAACCCACCCATAATTAGGATTGTTTCCTGTTGTACCCAAGCCTAGCTCATGCATATTTGCCTTTCCAACTAAAATGACACCACAGCTGCGTAATCTTGAAACAGAAATAGCGTCTTTTTCTACTTTATAAACCTCATGATACCATGTCGTAGCACCTGTACAAGTGGCAAATATGTAAATGAGCCTGGCAAAGAGATTGGAACATGAACTGACAATTCGAGGACCTACCCTTTGTAGGATGATGGTAGAGATCAATGTCATCTTTAATGGCCACGAATATTCCATCCAAGATTGACAGTGGGTTTCCTGCATAACCAACAATGGAATAAAACACCATCTAAAACAGAAGACTTTCTGCTAACAAATATTAAATAGTGCCACTAATAACACAGGCACCCTTTCGGATTTATAACTATAAATTATGGTAAAACTATTATTAAAACCTACATGAGTATAAGTGTCTGAAAATCCAATTACCGTCCTCAAATCTTTGAGTGGAAGCTGCAGCTTGCTTTCTAACCTCATCAGGACTAAAGGATATTAGCAGAGGGGCTGTTGGGTTCTTATTATCAAACTCCTCCATGGCTGAGATAAAGCACTCAGCAACCTGTAGCAAAATATCTACTATATTCCTAGATAAAATAAATGGAGTAAAAATAAGCATGAAGGTTTATAAACTGTAGCTAACTTGCCAGTGATGGAGTTGTAAGCTTCGATCTATATGCGTGAGCATAGTCACGAATCTTCCAATAGCGGAATGACACAGTCATATCAGAGGTCCAATTGCTAGCAGGATCATTATGTGGGAGACAGTTAAAGGCAATGCCAACCCTGTCTTGAGGGGGTCCGTCTTCTTCCAATAAAGATACACAACATTCTGGCTCTAAATTTGACCAAATGGTGCAGAACAATGGATCAATGCAATGTTTATAGCCTTTGTAATCACAACTCACAAAATAGATACATGATACCTAGTTTTTTACATGATATTATGATCTAAATCAAACATTGGTCAAATATTTCCCATTACTGGAAAAATTTTGAAAAAAACTATGCAACTAAAAACCCAACCAACCATGAAATGTAAAGGGCATGTAGTACTCATAGATGTAGCTATTCATTAAAAAGAAGTTGCTGAGAAAACATAAGGCAAATCTGTAAGGGTATGTTTGGATCCCGGAAAAGCTAGAGAAATGAAAACAAATGCTAAGGAAAGTTGTTTTCCTATGTTCGTCTTTACCTTGGGAAATGCAAAGAAAAATAGAATAGAATTACTTTTTAACCTAAATATGGATTTCCTAGTTTATCTCAATAAAATAGGTAAATAAATAAATTATATAGGTTATATATATTTAGGTTAAAAATATAGTCTATTTCCCCAAACTTTATCTCCGGCCAATTTACGTCCTTTTTTCATCCATGTTTTGTTTTGTAGTATTCTCCGGGCGCCAAATGGACCCTACATGTACGCAAATTATACCCTACGACCGGCGCACCATGAGGATGGTGTGCCCGGTCCTAAAAAGACACAGTATAGAAGGTTCGGAGTACCAGAGAGCTAAATTAATCCTCACTGAATCGGCTGAAAGAGAGAAAGAGACGCAGCTTGCTCAAGGGAGGATCGGAGTACCACCGTTTATTTGCCTTGAGCTCTCCTGCGTAAGATTTTTGGTACATAGATGAAGGTGCCGCCTACTATCTAGTTGGTGCCTCCTCACCGTTCATGATTGGGAAGAAAACAACGTTGCTGACAAAAGGCTTTGAATTTGTTTTTACTCGATTGGGTTTGGAGACTCATCAAAACCAGAATCGATCCATGGAGAGCTGTTTTGTTGAAGATGACTATTATGAATTATTTTATATCTTCCTCAATTTACATGTTGGTACACTCAAGTTACATCAAGATTTGCCTAAAGTTACATATACCAAGTTACATCTAATTTGTTTTCAAGTTACATTTCAATTAAAGCAGTTTACATTTCAACGAGTTACATGTGAATGAGTGTAATTTACATTTTGATTAACTTGAAGTTACATGTGGAATCACACGAGTTACATTTCATATAGTCATGGGAGCATGGTGCTCACCATGCACCGGTTGCACCATATACGGACTGCTACATGTATAGATGAATGGAATATCCTGCCTAAGGCGATTAGCACACTATACACAGAGAAAAGGAATTGCAGGAATTTCATGAAGGGGCAGAACAGTTAACCTTGTGGTGTGAACTCAGGCTTAAACATGGGAGCCTCTGGAATGACGGTGTTCTTCAACATCTGTCAATCACAAATGAACAATTCTTAACACACAGAACCGCTTGACATAGCCAGACAGATAGTTCAAAGTAAAGTTTAAATTCTAATCAGACCTCTACTATTCTGTTTTGATTCTTCAAGTGAGCCATAATCAATGACCCGATAGCTGGCGCTTCAGCCAACTTGACGAATAACTGCAACCCCAGCCCAGTCAAATGCGGGGCTGCAAGGTGATAACGCCAAAATAGTAATTCTTGTTTTAATTGCTAAAATACTAAAGTTCACACCGACGATAAAGATAGTAATACAGTAAAAAAAGGTAGTAACAGTGATAGTAATCAATTCAAACCACGAGATAAAACAGCGATATCGTAGTTGTAAAGCAATCGTGACCTTGTATATTTTCCGGCACGTACTTCACCGTCTCCAAGTCGACTTCACTAGCCGGATACATCACCCGCTTCTTCCCCATTTGCCAGAAAAGAATCTAATCCAGAGCAGAAGTCAGAAATAAATAAATGTAGACGCAAACGCAAAGGATGTAGTGAGCTGACCTTTGATTTATAGAATCGTAGGATTCAAAACATGGAGCAGCTAGCAAGAAGCTTTTGTGCGGCGAGATGGCCAGCGATGAGAATAATAAATATAATCAATTGGAAAAGGTAGTGGCGCCGATCGATGGAGGGCTTGACTTGAGATGAGTAAATGACGACAGCGGCGTGGCCAGCTTGCTTCCGGTCGTAGCTCTGCTGCCCAACTGCCTCCCTCATTCATGGTCACTTGGTCTCTAGAGCTATTTGGAGCACCTCAAATACTTTACTTTAATCTTCAACTAAGATAGTTTTTACTTGGACGGTAATTCGTCACAGAACAGACCAGATCAGACCAGACCAGACTTGGGTAGTTATAAAAATACAAAGAAACCAGACCAGACCAGTTCAGACCAGACGAGACCAGCAAATTACAGTCCTAACAAACCAACATCTGTTTTTTATCCTAAAGTAACACCACTAGTTTTTAAAAAATCCAAACCAATATCACTAATTTTTCAAACAAACACCTAATTTTCTATCTATATATATTTAAAAACGCAATAGTGCAGCACCATTTTGAGCGGGAACTGCTAACGCTTATTGCCTACACCAATTGAGGCAATTAATATCTCTTAATTAATACTCTACAACTACTTTTTATTATGATGCATCAATCCCAATGCGAAATTAAATGTTACTCCGTAAGGTGGTTGTTCCCTTTTTTGCTTGGATTTCTCGAGTACGCTGCCAACACAGTACTTCTAAAAGTATTTTGTTAAGTATTCTACGTGTGCAATGTATTAATGATGAATATAAGCCCCGGGTCGCATGCCTTTTGGTATTCCAAAGTAAACTTGAATAAATGTTTTACCGTTCACATGTCTCTCAAATATGACCCCCAAACTACCACGCGAGATATATAAATAAGTTCATTAGAATCTTCGGTAGCCATGCTTTCCAAAATACAATGTATATGTACAATATAACCAGCCATGAAAGATTGCTTTTACAATCTTTGTGAGAAACTGGGTCTGTGATTGGCGAACCATGTCAACTTAGGCAGTACAGATGAGACCGTTGTGTGCATTCAAGAAGTTCCTGATGTTGGCACCAAAGAGGTAAGCTTTTCTTGAGAACATAATGCATCACATAAATGAAAGAATTCTTTATGAGTAATGAAACAATTAAACATTGTAATTTATTTTTCTTCTTCTGCTCAGGTGCATATGATAAAGCTAGCAAAAGTACTGCAACCAGTCAATCACTACAAGCAAGAATTGTTGTAGAGCCGACATATATGATTAGATATGCTTAACTTTTTTATTTAATTTATTGACTTTATGATTGTATACTATTGAGTAATATTTTGGAGCTTTATGTTTCTATTAGAGACTATGAATCCAGTTGCAAATGATTTAATCTATGATGCTTGGATGACTTTTATAAAAGGTGTTCTTAATCCAGTCTAGAGTGTACGTTCTTACACGTGGCGTTCCTTACATCCTTACTAATGTTTGGACAAACATGCTGGTACAATAGTGTTTTGAGTCTACAAGTTGTTCAATTTTCAGCCATATGTTGTAACAGTCTTCCAATTTTAAAAGTAGTATATTACAAATTGAAGCAGTGGACGGTGAAGGAGAAGCTGCTGAACAGTGAGAGAAAGATGGTGACTACATGACTGGTGGACGGTGAAGGAGAAGCTGTTGAACAGTGAGAGAAAGATGGTGACTACATGACTGGTGGACGGTGAAGGAGAAGCTGTTGAACGATGAGCTGAGAGGGAATAGATTGTGACCAACGGTTGGTTAGGGCGAAGGCGATGACCGATATTTCGGTGAGGCGTCGCTGGTGTGACAGGTGGAACATACCTGATGAATCACCCAAGCTATGTACTATCAACGCGTATGTATTCCGTAGGGCTTTGAGCTGGGCACTTGGGCTTAGGTTTTGCATTTAAAAAAATCTTTTGGACCTAATTTTGAACCACTGATTGAAGTAGTTATGTTTGTTTCTATTTTTAAAATAGTGGTATATAAATTTGATTTGAATTAAAACTAATATTCAAAAATTATACTTCCTTTGTTCCATAACGAAGTTTCAATATAAGTCCCCATAAACTAATTAAACCACACCTACCAATAATTAATTTATTTTTAATAAATACTCTGTAAAATATTCATGTTGAGAAATTACATTCAAAAATTATAAAGTCCTAAAAAAGAACTCAAATTAGACCAAAGTTGGGTATATAAAGTAAAAGATTAAAATAAATTTAAGTTTGTCGATGAGAAGATTAGGAATGAGAACTTTATTATGTGACAATGCTACTATTTTTTTGAAATTTTTTTTTATTCAAGCATTGGAGATGGCACTATTGGGAAATGGGGGCCAAATAATGTTTTTGCAAAGATTGAGATATCTAATGACTAAAAATACTTGGTTAACTTTTCTAAATGGATTGCAATCATGTAAATGGCTAATTTACATTTGTATTATTTCAATTATCACAAAATATATGATTTTACTAAGAATTATTAAATTTAACTTTATGTTTTACATTATTTAATACATTCCGTGCATCGCACGGGTACTATACTAGTTTCATCTAATTAGCCATTACGATAAAAAAAACATAAAATATTTTTTTGTCAAACATACTGATGGAGTATATGGCCCGGGAACCCCCGGCCCACAGACTCCTACTACTCCAATAAAGGCCCAACAGGCCCAGAGAGCACAACAGGCCCAAATCAAAGCGTCCAGGGTACCAAGCAGCCCACAATGCGCACCAGGGGTGCCTTCAGCCCCCTGGCCGAAGGCTCTGACTCTCACAAGAGGGCCAAGACAGGAAAACAAAGTTACTGGAAAAAACGGCGAAAATCAGTAGCCCTCGGCAGTGGGAGCCCTCGGCACTAAGGGGGTCCCCGGTACACAGAGCCCTCGGCTAGTCATCTACTGCCGAGGGCGCCTCTTCCGACACGATATCCGCTCCACATGTGTACAGATCACCGTACCCTGTACAACGTCCCATCCAACAGCCGCATTAAATGCGGCCACATGCGGTTGCCAGCGCCAACCAGTTGAGGTGACCCCTCAGCCAATGAACGCTTGACACGTGTCCCTGTCCGGCATTTATTGCTACTATAAATAGCACCCCTTTTTCCCATTTGTAACCAAGTCATAAACGCCGCATACTTTCTAAATATACTCTCTCTCTCTATATTTACTTGCTCCGACTTCTCTCTTATTATTCTCCGTAATAACCCCTCGGATAAGCTACCCCCGGGTACACTATCCATCATTTGGTGCTCTCGTTGAGAGGTCGAACAATCAAGTAAGAAACCCTCCCCCTCGACCAAACACAAAAACACCCATCCAAAATGGTGAGAACAACTCGTGCCAACTCCAAGAATGTAGAGGACAGGAACCTGGCCCTCGACAAAGTCGACGTCCCCGAAGCCTCCAACAGGGCTCCCGGGGGCGGCGTCATCGCCGGGATGGACCAGACAGCTGTCGACCTACGCCAGCAGATTCAGCAAAATGCCCCCGATGCCCGCCTCGGCATCGATGCCAAGAAAAAGGACCGGAGCGAAAATCAAATTAGCCCCCCCCCCCGGTCGTCACCATCGACGTTCAATCGGCGCTCTCCGCCTTCATCCAGACGCTCACTCAGAACCCGGGTGCCTTCGGCACTTTGGTTCCCCACCAACCTCAGGTGGGGGAGATTATTATGCCTCCCCCTCATCCACGACCCCTCGGTAACCCGGTCCTCCGGATGGGGAACTCCGAGGGGGTCGTGGCCCAAGACACGGCCTCCCAGGAAGTCCAGTCCCGGGACCGCCACGACGTGAACAAGGAGCACCTTCGGACCTCCGCCCTCGAGAGGCTTGGAGGGGTGCACGACCGCCGAGGGGTCCAAGACCGCCGAGGGGGGGGGGGGCGTTCCAAAGGCCTCAGGAAAGTGGCGGGTCCGTTTCCAGGGCCAATGAAAGACGTCCCCCTCAGGACAAGGGCAAGGCACCTCTCCATGCCGACGACGCACGCCATCAAATCAATCAAGCCCACTCGGCTCGGGTCCATTCGCAGGGGGCGGAGGCCCTCCAGAAGGACCCCCGGGACGAAATCATTGCGGCCCTCCAGCGCCGGCTTGACGAGATAGAGGCCACCAAGGCCCACGCCACCACTTCTGCCCCTCATGCGGACTTCAAGTATGAGGCGATGATGGCCAAGATGGAAGAAATGCAGAAGAAGATAGCCGAGGGCTCCGGGGAACCCACCATACAGCTCCGGACCCGGACGCCATTTACCCCAAGGGTATTGGCGGCCCGGATCCCGGAGAAATACCGAGGGCAGCTCATCAAGCCCTATGACGGAAAGACTGACCCCCAAGAGCACTACAGCAGGTATCAAAACAGCATGATGATGGTGGGGGCATCGGATGAATATTTGTGCCGCTGGTTCCTCTCCACCCTAGAGGGCCAGCTTACGAATGGTTCAATCGATTGCCCGAGGGCTGCATTGACTCATGGCAAGAACTCGCCCAGCGATTCTTGACGCAATTTGCGGGAAGGCGCCGCACGAGAAAACACTTCTCCCACTTGCTAACTGTGAGGCAGAAGAAGGAGGAGACCCTTCGGGACTTCCTGGAGTGCTGGAGGACGGAGGCTGATAAAGTTGACGGCGCAGACGACGGGACCCTCCTGGCCCTCCTACAAACAGTACTCCGCCCCGGGAACTTCTCCAGAAGCCTCATCATCGAACCCCCCCCCCCCCCCCCGCGATTATATAAGGGCCCTACAGCGGGGGGACCGGTACGCCGAGGCCGAAGAAGTGGAGAAATGCCACCATGTCCCAGATCATCAACGCCCTCAGCCAGAAGACAAAGGTAACCGAGGGCCGGGGGCTCCCCGCAATCATCCCAGGGATCACGCCCCCTCCGGTGATCGCCCCCGGCATGGCCAAGCCAAGCCCGAGGGAGGCTACGAGGGGAACCCGAGGGCTTGTGCACAGTTTGTCCTCCTGGAGCACCCTCGGACACCATTAACGCATCCCGTCAGCGTTATTCTTGATTTTGCTGAAGAGAGGGGCCTCGTGGAGCGAGATTCACGCGCGCCCTCGGAAGTATTTGCCATCAATCCAAACCACCCCTACTGTCGTTTCCACCGACACCAGGGGCACAGGACCGATGATTGCCATCAGCTGAAGACGGCCATCGAGAAATTGATACAGGCGGGCCATCTGTCCCAGTTTGTCCAGGGCCATC